ACCCGCCGGTCAAAAGGGTTTTAAAGATTTTTGGTGAAAATATTAATTGTTGGGTCACCACACACAACACACACACACACCACGCTGAGGGGGAAAGAAGAGCTCACTCAGGAGAAAAAGTTACTGGTAAGGGGCCCCCGTTTAAACCACGGGGAATCGACTGGAAACCGGGAGCCACTGGGGGTCCAAAAACTGGAGACCCAAGTATGGATGTGGTATTGAAAACCTCTGCATAACTGTCGGGAAAAACCCAAGAGGAGGGGAGGTAAACCCAGCAAGACGGGATCTTGTGTTCACCTGAGCAGTTCGACATTGAGGACACCTTACGAGAGGCCCCTTGGAGTAGCGATCACGTGGTTTGAGTTTTGACTATATAGTAGGTTCAAGTGGAGAAGGAAACAGGAATAAAGGGGGACGGGCCCAAACTAAAAAAGGGGGGATAAAAAGGGTATGAGAAACCCCTGCAGGGGTTCAGTGGGACAGAGAAATGGTAGGAAAATCAAAAGAGATGATGGAATATTTGGCAACAAATAAGGAGGCAAAAGTTTGTTCCCAAGGGGAAAAACGAAAATAATGGAAGAAAAACGAGCCTTGGACCCGAAGGTTTTGGGGAAGGCAAAAAACAATGAAACGAAGGAAAAAGGCAGGACATGAACAGGAAAACAAGGAGATTGTAGAAAGAGAAAAACATAGACAGAAAGGGAGGGGAAAGTTTGGAAAACACAAGCATCAAATTTTAAAAGCCCCCAAATTGGATTTAAACATTAGGAGGAAGCAACAGCAAGGACCGGGATAAGGTGAGAAAAAGGGGGGGGGGAACTCAAGAACGATAAAAGGATGGAGGACTCCCGTTTAAGGAAGTATTTTCGTAAACAGGTGGGGTTGGGGGGGGGGGGGGGGGGGGGGGGGGGGTTTGGGGGGGGGGGGGGGGGGGGGGGGGGTGTCCTGGTGGGGGTTGGGGGGGTTTGGGGGGGGGGGGGGGGGGAAAAAAGCCCTGGAAACGGGCAACTACCGGGTAGGGAAAGACGGCAATGTATTTCCCCATTTTTAAAAAAGGAGACAAAAAAAGAGGACAAATATAACCTGTTTCATTGCGTGTATAGAAGCAAAATTTGGGAAGATTATCAGGAGGAGAGTGGTGGAGCACTGGAAGGAACAAGGTTAAATCCCAAACCAGCACGGATTCAGGGAAAGGGAAAATTTGTGTCAAAAACCCTTCTGGATTTTTTATGATAAAATAACAGAATAAGGGCACGAGAGAGGGGGTGGGTTGATTGATTTTTTGGGGTGAAAGAAGCCCTTTGACACAGTTCCTCACAAGAGTTTAGGCAAAAGTAAGCATTAGGGATATAACAGGAAGGGCACTGCAAGGACAAGAATCCCTAAGGGGGGGCAACAAGAGTATGGTAGAAATGATGTATCACAGGGGGACTGTGGGCGGGGTCCCACAGGGGTGGGCCTAGGACCTGCTATTTTTGGTATATGTGAACGACTGATGGAAGGGTTAGACCAGAAGTGTCCCTTTTTGCAATGTGTGAAGTTAATGAGGAGTTTAAAATTGATGGGGACAGGCAGGACTTCAAAGAGACCTGGAAGACGGAACCGGGTCCAGCAAAGGGCTTCTCGAATTAACCTCCCAAAAGCAAAGTCATGAAGTGGGGCAGGGCACAGAAGACCACAACAGAGTTGGTAGGTGGCCAAGACGCAAACCTCCTCAAAGAAAAATCTTGGGGTGAGTAAACACCGAGCATGTCCCCGGAAAGCACACATAATAGATAACTGCGAGTTGGGCCCCGGGGAAAACCCTGGAAACGCATTCCGATACTTAGAAAGGGAAAATCATTCAAGACACTGTCACCCCTGGGATTCGGCCCATACTGGAGTAGCAGCACCCGTTTGGAACCCGCACTTGATAAAGCACGTCAAGAAAAATAGGAAAGTACAAAGGTTTGCGAAAAGGTTAGTTCCCCGAGTAAGGGGAATGTTTTTCCCCATGAAAAGAAGGGAAATCGGCCCGACGACCTGGGGACGGAGGGGCGGGGAGAATGATAACGACCTATAAAAAATGCGTGGAATAGACAAGGTGGACAAAGACAGGATGTTCCAGGGAGGGGGGGCACGAAACAAGAGGGCCCCCCAAAATTTGGGGTTTAAGACACAAATGGTCAGAGAGTATTAGGAAGTATTTTTTCAGTCATAGAGTTTAAAAGGGAGTGGAATAGCCCAGAAAAAGACGTAGTGGAGGCAGGAACTACACATTTTTAAAACGAGGTTTGATAAAGTATGGGGCGGGGAAGAGAGGGCCTTGTACAACCGGTGAAGAGGCGGGGCCAGGGCTAAGACTCGCCCCTGTAACCAAAATAGGTGAGTACACACACACACACACACCGCCCCCAAAATAGGTAGTTTAAAACCCCCCAAGGATTAAACACAAAGTACAAAACATCCAACTAAATGTTCTGATTAACGGCTCCCAGGAAGAAAACAAAAAATCCTTAGGTCTGTACCCTGACAGCAAAATTGAAATTAACACCATATTCAGCACATAAAAAAAAAAGTATCCAAATCAATTGAAACGTCTCCCAGTAAGTTATATGTACTTCAAACAGCACTACTTGTATTACTATTTATCTGTTCTTATTACAATATAATATGATATTTGTGACTGGGATCCATACAGCCGGATACCAAAAAATTACCAAAAATATAGTGCATGAATTTTCACCCAGTTTATTTTGGCAACACACTTCCCCACTTCTTCGTCCACAACGGTGGGTATGGGGTACTACCTATTTGTGGTTGCAGGGGGGATTCAAGCTCCCGGACCCGCCTCTCAATGATGCTACTAGGTCCTCCTTTTTCCTGCTGCCCGAGCTTTTTCAAACCCCGTCTTAAAAAATGTTGGTTCCCGCCTCCACTACGTCACTTTTAGGATATTCCACGCCTGACAAAATCTGTGCTGAAGAAAATACTTCTTAACATCCCTTTTGGGCTATCTGAGTTTCAACTTCCAATTGTGACCTTTGTTTCTGTGTCCCCCTCTTGGAACATCCTGCTTTGTCCACTTTTTTATTCCGTGCAGTATTTTATATGTCGTTATCATGTCTCCCTGATCCTCCCGTCTCCAGTGTGTAGGGCCCAATTTCCTTAACCTTTTATCGTGGACAATCCCCTTAGCTCTGGGGCTAGTCTTGTTGCAAACCTTTACATTTCTTTTTTCCCGACGTGCTTGACCAGGTATGGATTCCAAATGGGGCTGCTCCCGTATGGGGCCCGATGTATATGGTGTACAGAGTCTCGAGCGATTCCCTTTTTGAGATATCGGAACGCTGTCCTTAGGTTTGCCAGACGCTGTCGCTGCGCATTATCTGTGTGGCCCCAGGAGATGTGTCGGATTATACTCACCCAAAATCTTTTTCTTATGTGAGGTTTGCGTCTTTGGTCACCCCGAATAGTGTTGCGGTTTTTTGCCCTTCTCCGATTTCATGACTTTTCATTTGGCAGGGTTTTAAATTCAAGGGGCCCTTGCTGGACCAGGCTTGTAGCCTGTCCGGTCTCTTTGTGGTCCGCCCGATCCCGACCGATTTGATTTCCTCATTAACAATTAGGAAATTAGGAAGGAGGGAGTGAATTTCCAAAAAGTTTATTCAGGGGTGGGGGTTGTTGAGGGGGATTTTTTTATTTTGATAGGGTAGAGCAAAAAAAGGGTGACGGGAAGGGGTATAAGTTTTAATGAAAGGGAAAGGGCGGGGGGGGTCGTCCCGGGAAAAGTTGGAGGGGGTTTAAAGGAGGTTTTTGGGGCTAGGGGGTTTGACGTCCAACAAGTTTTGTGAGCGTGTGAAACAGGGGGGGGGGGGGGGGAGGTGGATTTAATGCTTTAAGTGCTGTTGGAATGTGTAAAAACGGTAACATTTATGAAAGATTCGGGGAAACCCCGTTAGCTGGACCCCAGTTCTCGAGGGGGGAAAAAAACGCCCTGCATTTGAAGGGTGGAAGGAAGTTTTTGGGGTTTTCTAAACTTGGTGTCAAATGTTCAGGAGACAGTAAACGAATGAATAACAGTGAAAGTATTTTGTTTTTTTTAGTGTCTCCCTACGTCGATTGGAGACTGTTATGGATTAAAAAAAATATCATACACATTTTCCCATTAAAATTTGCCGTGGGGTTCCCACCCTTTATTGCTAAGATTTTTGGGTATAAAAACCGGTTTTAGGACTTTTCTGGCTGAGAATAAAAACTAGCGCCAACCCCTTTTTCACTTTTCAGTAATCGGGAAGGCCCCAGGGTACCCCTGTACACGCAAATTGCGATTAATTTCAATTAATTATTTTAAAACATCCTTGCTTATATCAGACGTAGAGAAAAGTTTATCTTTGCATAAATTTTAAATGTTGTAAAAAAGTATTAAAACTAGAATAATTCGAAGAAAAAGTATTTTCCCAAATATAAAGGGGTGTTGCAGGACTGACTTTTGAATAGAGTTGGAAGAAGGAAGTCAGAGCGGTAGTACCTGACATGTCTGACAGAAATGGACTAAATACACATAATTAGACTAATGCATAATTCCAAAAGAACAGTAATACCTGCTTGGTATAGAAAGACAGCACAGTGATTGTAACCCAAATCACAGAACGAGTGAGGCTTGAACTCAATCGTTCAAGACCCACCTGTTGTGTCATATATTTGGAATTGCGTTATTACAGTTTCGTAAGTCAAATTGTAATGCTTAAGTAACTGAATCTGGGTAACTACAGAACAGCCAGAGTCTTCTATTGTGCTTCCTCTATACAATTCTCCCTTCCTACTAATTTTTGTGTCTCGCCAGAGTTTTTCTCGATATACATAGAAAGACCTTCGGGTAACACTCCTAGTTTAATGACTTCATCTAGCTAGTGCTAGATGAAGACGTCATAGAGTGAGGCAATCCCCACTAACAAAGCAAATAAATTGCGGTAAATTTCATAATTAATGCTAATAACAGTTCATTATCAAAGACTCACCTGAAAAGTAAGTTATTTATCCAGCAGTCGCCGTGCGTAATAACTGCAAATGGTGGAGTAGCGACCAGTTGCTGCTTGTACAGGGTCCAGGCCTCAGGCTTGATCTTCCTCACCCACGCCACCACCTCCTCACACCCGCCCATCTTCTCAAACATCTCGACTGCAATGTCCAGGTAATTCCCCACGAACGTACCGAAGTCCCCGGCCAAGTTAAACTCTTTCGTCCATTCTTTCTGCAGTGCCTGAAACCTGTGTACCAGGGGTTGGTGAGGTGTGATGGCCTGCAGGAGCAGAGAAGCTGCATGCAGCCTGGCTAGTTCCTGCAGCACCAGCAGGCTGTGAGCAGCGTCTATTCCCACTGTTCTATCTTGCATGCTGTAACCCTGTTCCTGCAAGTTCTCTAGCATGATCATCTCCTTCCCCGGCTCCAGGCTGGAGTAAACACATTTGGGAAATCTCAGAGGCTTTTCCCCGATGCCTTTGAGTACAGCATTGAGGGCAGGGATGATCTCAGCATAAAAGTTGCACTCTTTCGCAAAAATGATGCTGTAAAATTCTATTTTTTGTGCCCTGCTCGGCGTCACCTTCACCACATAGGACACCTCTTCGGCTGTCCCTGCCAGCGTGTACTGTATCCTGACGTTGGCAATATCGGAAGTGGCACCATCGTAGGCAGCAGTGAAAGTCTCAGTGGTCCAGGAGACCAAAGTAGCCTCGGCACCCTTGTCAGAGACCAGTGATGCCTGCACTACGTCCTCCGTCACCACCCTCAACACACCCTCACTCACTGCAAAGATAGAACTGCACATAACTGAACATTATAAATTGTATATCTTAAATGTTTCTCACAATTATATCACATAAATGTTAAACCTAAAACCCAATCTAACTTTATTATTTTTTAAATACACTACCTAACAGAATCACTACCTAACTGAATGCAACCATATGACCTGTCTTTGTAATACTCACTTGTGCTTTATAGTTATCTGTTTACATTAATGTTTTATCACTGATTTCATCATTGCTTAGTAGCAGCGCTGTATAGTCCTTGTGGCTTAGCGCTTCTTTTTGATATAATAATAATAATAATCATTGCTTAGTTAATCTTAAGTTAATTTTAAGCCAGCCCGTAATGCTATGCATAGTATAAGTGGCTTTGGCATACTGCTCTTATCTGTATTTTTTTGTACCTCTGTATGTGTGCACAAATTGGAAATAAATAAATAAATAAATAAATTAGATTGACTTAAGAAATCGTAATGACACGATTGCAAATAAACCATACCCCCGGCCCGGGATTGAACCCGCGGTCATAGAGTCTCAAAACTCCAGCATTTGTGGTCACAGAGGTGCCTGTGCTAACTTTCCTATGGTGTAGAAATATACCTAGTTGGATGAATCTTATTGTGGCTAGCTGGTCTAGTGGCTAACGCGACGGGCTGGAGTTTTGAGACTCTATGACCGCGGGTTCAATCCCGGCCGGGGGTATGGTGCACATTAGATTACTTGTGTGGTAGTTAGAAAGTTTATTCAGGTATATACAAATACAGTTACATATATTATCATACATAGCAGCATATGTGTAAAGTACCTGGGATAACCCAAATAAGTCAGTGACTTATTTCTAGGACTATAAATAATAATAATACTATCCATACAGGAGGGTATGGAGGGTAGTTCTAAAGAACTGAAACTACCTACTTTTTAGAATCAAACTTGACTACCTGCCATTCCCAGTTATTTAGTTAGTTAGTTTAATATGTTTATTATGCACCCCATACCCATCCTGTGGGCGGTAGTCAAAAGATTACAGAGGTACATAATTTGTCCAGGGACTGGACTCCAAAGTTTTGATAGCTGAGCAAGTTACAGAAGTAATGAACTCACAATTTACAAAGGTAATGAACTCACAATTTACAAAGGTAATGAACTCACAATTTACAAAGGTAATGAACTCCAGGTAGGTCTAGTAACAATCATGACAAGTTACAAAGGTATTTACAGATTACAGAGGTACGTAATGAACTCACAAGTTACAAAGGTAATGAATCCTGTAAGAATGGTTACTTACGTTTATACATGGCTACAATCATGAACAAATTATAGAGTAATGAGCAATTCACACTTCCACACACGGTCACAACTGTAATGAGTTATTGGTGCAAATATTGATTGAGTCTCACACCACACACACACAAAACACAAAAACAGATACACACACACACACACCACACCCACACACACACACACACCCAAAACACACACACACAACACACACACACACACACAAAACAAAACGGGAAATACTGCGGGAGAAAGCACGATTAAGGGACATGACGGCATACAGGGGGGGTGTATCTCAAACCGCGACAGAACACAAGAAAAAAGGGAAGAAACGAGAGAATGGTAAAAAAGGCGAAAGGAGGAAAAAAAAGGGGGGATGGAGAAGACAACAGGAGATCCCAAACCCCAGGAAAAAGATCTAATACAGCCCCCCCAACAACTTTCTTTTAGAACCCCCCCCAACCGGGTCAACCCCAGTGAAACCCAAACACTCTAAATAAAAACCCCCAAGCCACACCCAAATGCCCCCACCCACTACATTACAAACTTAAAAACCCCCCCACACAACAACCCATATTTTTTCCTTACCGGGTTTCTCCCATTTCCCCCAACCCCAATATATTTCCCAGACCACAGTCTTAAAAAAAAATTTTGAAGGGGGTGGTATAAAAAATGCGATGGAATAACAAACAATATGAGGAGTGGCACGAAAAATCAAAAAGACATCCCCAGACATAATAGCACTCACAGAAACAAAAAATCTAAACCCGGAAAATAACAATTCCCAAACTTTCCATTTCCGGAAAAACAAAAACTTCAGGAAAGACCCGAGGGAGGAGAGGGGAGGAGGGGTTGCAAATGGGTCATTTAAAAAACCCGTGGGGTTTTTTTAGAAAAGGAAAGGGAAAGGTTTGGGATGGGCGAAAGGGACTACTTAGTAGGAACAATCCAGTCGAGGGACATAAGGTGATAATTTCAGTAATGTACAAACCCCCCCCAGAACTGCAGGAGGGCCCAAAAGAAGAATAAGATTTGAGCAACAGAGCAATGATCCCAAAACACTAGCCGAGGTGGCCAAGAGCACCCCATGGGGGGGGCAAAGTTACTATTTTTGGGTGATTTTTCAATCACAAAAAGATTGACCCGGGAAAACCCCGGAGCCCCATGGGGGTTCCCCAAACATGGAGAGGCCCAAAAGATTGGGTTTTGATACTGGGGGAACCTCGCATCAACAAAGTTAGAGACACCACCAAGAGAGAGGAGAGGATAACCAGCAAGGTTGGGCCTTTTTTTTCACCAAAAGTTAAATTCGGGGCATCGAGGGGATCATGTATGAAAAGGGGCCCCCGGGGGCTAGTGATCCCTTGGTTCTGTGCTTTACTACATGTTGAGCTCCAAGTGGGGAGAGTAAACAGGAATAAGGGTGGGGAAAAAACCCAAAATAAAAAGGGGGGCTACTCAGGCATTTAGGAACTTCCTTCAAGACATTCAGTGGGAGAGGGAACTGACAGGGAAAACCCGTACAAAAAAATGATGGACTATGTGCAACAAAATGCAAGGGGGCAGAGGAAGGTTTTTTCCCCCAAGGGGAAAAAGAAATAATGGGGGAAAAACAGAACGAGTCCTTGGTTCACCCAAAGGTGTAGGGGGGCAAAAACCCAGGGGTAACTAGAGAATGGAAAAGGTACAGAAGACAGAGAACCCCCAGGAAAATAAAGAAATCAAACCGAAAAACCAAAACGAATATGCACAATAAGAAGGGGGGCTCAGAGGGCAATATGAAAAAAGACATAGCAAACAAAATAAAGACGACCCCCAAGCTGTTTTACAGCCCCATCAGGAGGAAAAAAAAAGTCAAGGACCAGGTAATCAGACTGAGGAAGGGTGATGGGAATTCACAGAAACGACCGAGAGGTATGTCAGGAGCTCAACACAAGATTTAAAGAGGTATTTACAGTGGAAACCAGTAGGCTCCAAGAAATCAGAACAGGGGGGCACACCAGCAAGTGCTGGATGAGGTACATATAACCAAGGAGGAGGTGAAGAAGCTGCTATGCGAAGTTGACACCTCAAAGGCGTGGACCAGACAACATCTCTCCATGGGTCCTTAAAGAGGAGCAGAGATATTGTGTGAGCCATTAACAAAGATCTTCAACACATCATTTGAAACTGGGCAACTCCCTGAGGTATGGAAAATGGCAAACGTAGTCCCAATTTTTAAAAAGGGAGACAGACATGAGGCACTAAACTACAGACCTGTATCCCTAACGTGTATAGTATGCAAGGTCATGGAGAAGATCATCAGGAGGAGAGTGGTGGGGCACCTGGAAAGAAACAAGTGTATAATTGACAACCAGCACGGTTTCAGGGAAGGAAAATCCTGTGTCACAAACCTACTAGAGTTTTATGACAAGGTGACAGAAGTAAGACAAGAGAGAGAGGGGTGGATCGACTGCGTATTTTTGGACTGCAAGAAGGCTTTCGACACAGTTCCTCACAAGAGGTTACTGCAAAAGCTAGAGGACCAGGCACACATAACAGGAAAGGCACTGCAATGGATCAGAGAATATCTGACAGGGAGGAAACAACGAGTCATGGTACGCAAACGAGGTGTCAGAGTGGGCGCCTGTGACAAGCGGGGTTCCACAGGGGTCAGTCCTAGGACCTGTGCTGTTTTTGGGTATACGTGAACGACATAACGGAAGGGATAGACTCAGAAGTGTCCTTGTTTGCAGACGATGTGAAGTTAATGAGAAGAATCGAATCGGACGAGGATCAGGCAGGACTACAAAGAGATCTGGACAGGCTACAAGCCTGGTCCAGCAACTGGCTCCTTGAATTTAACCCTGCCAAATGCAAAGTCATGAAGATTGGGGAAGGGCAAAGAAGACCGCAGACACAATATAGTTTAGATGGCCAAAGACTGCAAACCTCACTAAAGGAAAAAGATCTGGGGGTATAAACACCGAGCATATCTCCTGAGGCGCACATCAATCAGATAACTGCTGCAGCATACGGGCGCCTGGCAAACCTACGGATAGCGTTCCGATACCTCAGTAAGGATTCGTTTAAGACTCTGTACACCATCTACGTCAGGCCCATACTGGAGTATGCAGCACCAGTTTGGAATCCACACCTAGTCAAGCACGTCAAGAAATTAGAGAAAGTGCAAAGGTTTGCAACAAGACTAGTCCCAGAGCTACGGGGATTGTCCTATGAAGAAAGGTTGAGGGAAATCGGCCTGACGACACTGGAGGCCAGGAGGGTCAGGGGAGACATGATAACGACATATAAAATACTGGGGCGGAATAGACGAGGTGGACAAAGACGGATGTTCCAGAGATGGGACAAAAGACACAAGAGGTCACAATTGGAAGTTGAAGACTCAGATGAATCAAAGGGATGTTAGAGAAGTATTTCTTCAGTCATAGAGTAGTCAGGCCATGGAATAGCCTAGAAAGTGATGTGGTGGAGGCAGGAACCATACATAGTTTTAAGGCGAGGTATGATAGAGCTCATGGGGCAGGGAGAGAGAGGACCTAGTAGCAACCAGTGAAGAGGCGGGGCCAGGAGCTAGGACTCGACCCCTGCAACCACAAATAGGTGAGTACAAATAGGTGAGTACACACAAAACACACAGATGCTTGGACTCGTCCCCTGCAATCTCAACTAGGTGAGTGCACACACACACACACACACACACACACACACACACACACACACACACACACACACACACACACACATACACACACAT